CTTTCTCCTGCAGAGAAGCTGGTGGATTCAAATCACATCCCTTTGGATTTAGCAGCCCAATTCCTTACCTATCACTAAGCTACTACAGTTTCCTCTTTTTATTTCTATAGTCAAGGCATGGAGGGAAATACTTAAAAACAAAAGAAAAAATACTTCTCTCAAGCTTCATAATGCATCTTCAAGGTTCTCAGCAAGGCAACGAATGTATGATAAATTTACTGTAATAAACAGGTTGGTAGCAAAGGACTTACTTTCTTAATTGGTCACAAATTGCAAGCTATATTACAGAAGCCTTCTTAGAAGCTATTCACAAGGCAACTGGCTTCTGAGACCACAAACCATTTATTTCATCAAGGAAGACACACCCACTGAGCAGCAGACATAGCCTCTAGCCAATCCTCTCAACTGTCTCTTCTACCAATAAACACAGCTTCTTTCTTTCAAAAATGGAAACTGATTGAATTCAACCAATTAACTATCTGGCTCAGAGCACTACACAGTTTCCAGGGCACCTGAACTCTGATGAGTGGGCAAGTCAGCCTTCCCTGCACGTCCACGTTCCAAATTACTATCTTAAGTACTGTGTGTTCATGCAGATAGTATGCATGTTGCATGATTTTGCCAACTGTGTAACCTCCACATGGTGTATGTGTACATAGCTTTTACAGGGGCTCATAATAGGAAAAAGAATCAGTATATGTTTTTTGACATATTAAATAGAAGTTTCATCTACCAAGAATTTTTATTAAACTCCTCATATTAAAGTGGATACCTCATATAATTCTGAGTCTTTCAGACTCAGCAGGTAAGATATGCAATATTCTTCCCAATGGAGAAACAAACAAACAAAAAATGGAAAGAAAAATCCCATCTCACAAACTGTGAATAACTGCATTACTCCTGTAAGGCCTGGAAGTCTTCGGGATGTCTCATCAGGCCCTGCTCAACCTGAAGAGGTGTCCTGAACTGTTCAGGACCAGCGTAGTGAACAGCTGCTCCTCTTGTTCCCACCTTGTGCTGTCAGCAGCTGCTGAGTGGAGTCTGACTCACAGCGACCCTATGAACAACAGCTCGGATCCCTGTCCTATCCTGCGCCATCCTCAATCCCTGACATGCTCACGCCCACTGCAGCAGTCACTGTGTCATTCCACCTTTCCACGCTTGACGTCCTTCTCTAAGGAACAGCCTTAGAACTCCTCTTTTTTCCTCAGCTATGAGTTTATTCTTTCCTTTCTTCCCACCCTCCCCTCAACTACCACTTTAAATCCTCCTTCCCCTTTCTCTACAGTGGAAACACCAGAAGCGTTCTGTTTCCTCTGGAAACAGAATCTTACTTATTCTGACAGCTAGAAGGCTCTCATCTTTCTAAGGTTTCCTTAAAGAAAGTTGAAAATAAACAATAAAACTATTCCCAAGGGAAAGAGAGTGACAACTGTCAGAAAGGAAAAGTATTTTCTTTTTCCTTTTCACTTTTCACGTTATGTTGATTAAAGAAAGGAAAATTGTGTGTCCAACTTCCAAAATTTCTATTAAAAAATAAATAATTAAAAATATTGACAAAAAGAATTTTTTTTTAAATCAAACAAAAAAAGTATTATTTCAGGTAAAAACCAAAAATTTTATTTATTTACTCATGTTAAATCCACCCTAAGACTTAAGATCATTTAATACTGCAATACGCTGGTGAAAAATTTTTCTGCAAATCCTCAGGAGGTCTTTAAAAATAGGCTAAAATCCTCTTTCAGGTTTGGTTTTAATAAAGGCCTAAAAATGACATAAAGGGACTGAATTACATAAACCCCTAAAGGCTCCTTCCAGCTCTACTTACTTCTGTCAAAGCTTCCCTATGGCTAACTGTTATCCTTTTACCTTATAAAAAAGCTGACCGCCCTCCTACCCCTCTGAATAACAGGGAGGAAAAATTTCTGCTTTCCTGTTCAACTGCTGCTACTCGACTTATGAAAACTTTGTGTTTAATGTCATCTTTAGACAGCAATGTGGGACTGTTCATGCACCCTTCCTATCACAAGACTTACCTAATCAAACTCAAAAATGCAAATCTAATGGAGCCACTCTTTTATCACATACTCTCAGCCTTTTCAACGGAAATATTGGAGTTTCCACAACGTGAAGAGAAATTAGGAGTTGTCTGATCTAATGTCTCTCCTGCTTTTTAGAAGATAAATGCCGGGATATATGAGGAAATTACATCTTGGTTTTAAAATCTAAATTTGTATCTTAGTAAAAGCATGACACACAGCTGTGCAAACACCTTGCATATATATTTTTATGGCATAAATGGCAACATTTCCCCCAGAAAGAAGGGAAAACAGGTAGAAGTTGAAATAAGACAATTAAGACAAAAGGAACTTCCAAAAATATTCTTTAAAGACTCTGGCTCCCATGAAGGTATCAAGAACTGTTCTCTTGCTTAAGGAAAAAACAGGGGGGTGGGGTGTATGTTCATAGACAATACCCCTCTAGATCAGTACACAGAAGTACAAGTCTAAAGCCTTTGTTTAAAAAAAGATTTGGGGAGGTTTTAAATTTTTTAAAAAATTTTAATTGTAATTTTAACAGCAAAAAAATATTTGTACCCTTCTACAAAGATATTGCCAGAAGCAAAGACAGAAGCCCCACCCTTCCAAAAACCAAAGCCAAAGCAAAGGTGTTCAAGAAGGCAGTGCTGAAGGGCATCCACAGCCACAAAATAAAAAGAGCCACACATCACCCACCTTATAGCAGCCTAAGCCTCTGAAACTCCAAAGGCAGCCCAAATAACCCCAGAAGAGCTTCCCCAGGAGAAACAAGGGTGACCACTATGTCAGCATCAAGTTTCCCCTGACAACTGAGTCTGCTATGAGAAAAATAGAAAATAACGACACACGTGTGTTTACATGGCTACCAAGGCCAACAAGCACCCAATCAAACAAGCTGTGAAGAAGATCTGACACTGATGGGACCAGGGTCAACATCTTTATTAAGTCATACAATGATTTGGATGTTGCCAACAAAATTGAGATCACTTAAATAGAAATTTTTCTCAAACACACAAAAAATGTATAGGGGATAATTTGCTAGAAGGGATACTGCAATCCCTATCATGCCTTACGGCATTCCACTTGTTTATTCTTCCTAATTCCACCAACGTGTCCGAAGTTAAAGTTCTCACTAAAATAGGGTTACTGCGAGGAATAAGAGTGGATAGATAATGACCACTGCATTGGAACAGACGAAGGAAAGAACCATCTAAAGGAATATATGATTAGGCATTATATGTATGACAACAGCCCAGAATAAGAGGTATATCGCTGCAAAGAGGACTGGTGGGCAGCGGTAGAGGGAGGGAACTATGCAACAATGAATGAAAATTTTAAAAAAGTGTACTGTGGAAGTGGAAAGCGAGGGAGGGGGGTAAAATGTGCAACAGTGAAGAAATAAAAATCTAACTTGTCTATAAACATTCGTTAAAATCACAATTCAAATAAAATTTTATAATTTTTAAAAAGTTAGCTAGATGTTTCAGTCATACAAAATTTTACATTCCATTTTAGTTGTTTGGTATTTGTCCATCTTAGATGCTGCCAATCTCTGAAGAAAGAGCATGTCTACAAGTGGCATCCACTTCCTAAACAACATGCCTCTGTAAACTCTATGAACTTTGAGAAACAACTACAGTTATAGAAAGGCTTCAGGTCTTGGTCTTTTGTTCATAGGGTTGCTATGAGTGTGCTCAACTTGACAGCACTCAACAATAACAACAAATGCTAAACTACTGAAGATTACTGGGCCCAGGAACCTGGTTTCCTACATGAGAACATAACTTCTAGGCACTGACCAGAACACGTACACACAAAGTATCTTTGCAATGTAAATATCTTTTCTCTTGATTTCTTAGTATCTCTTTAAAAAAAAAAATCATAGGCCTCTCATTTACCTGCAACTGTCTGTTAATTTTCTGTTACATTTCTTTATCCCAGAACAATTCTGTCTTATTAGCCACTTTACAAGCTATACTTATCAGCTCCCTTACAAGGGAAATGTGATAAGAAACTGAGCTGCCAACCCAAAGGCAACCAGTGTGAATCCACCTGCTCCTCCATGGGAAAAAAGATGGGCAATCTCCTCCTTTGTGATTTACGGCCTCTGAAAACCAACTTGTGGGTCAATTTGAGTCAGTTTAGACTATGGCAAGGAGTGACAGAAACAGAACAGCAGAAAGCGAGTGACAGCGCCATTAATACTGTGGGGAGAGGAGAGATTCTTCCTCTTTGCATAAGCTGATTCTTATCATTTCCTTGCTTATACAATTCTTTTCACTTTTTTAAAAAATGAAAATAAACTTTGAATCTGTGAACAATTTTGCCTTGCATTTTACAATCTCAAGGGAGGAAAAGGCCCTTCAGTGTATATTTTCAGAGTCCCAGTGAAAGGTGCCAAATATTTATGTTAAAGACATACTAAGATCACTATTCTAGAAAGATCTAGTGGCCTAATGTTAAGAATCTTCATTGTAATCCCAAAGAAATGTACTTTGAATCCACGAGCTGCTCTCTGGGAGAAGGATGGGCAATCTCCTCCCATGCAATTTACTGTCTCTGAAAACTCACTGGAGGGTCAGCTATGAGCTGGTTCCCACTTGGTGGCACACAACAACCATCCTCTCAAAAACTGCAACTCTCAGAACTCCTATAGGAGAAACAACTACTTTTAAAATATTCTCCTTAATCTGAAGGCAATTTAAAAGACAGTTGTGGATTATCACAGTACGCCTTCCAGCCACACTTCTCTCACATGTCTGTAACTTGCTCATCTTTGGAAACACCTTTCCGCAGCACACCTGTCAGTCCAGACAACTGGAAGGCTGATACAGTACTGTCCTGACATTACCAGTGTATTTTCTGAATGCAGAACTTTTCAAAATGTTTTAGAACTGCCTGAATTTGGTTGGTGATTCAGCCTCTGTTAACTGCTGTCGACTCATCACAAGTCATACATACCACCAGCACAGAGTCACAGGGACACAACTCAGTAGGGGCCTCTTCTGCCTGGGGTCTCTCCATGGGCAGAGTAAGAGGATACTGCTTTTGAGGCACTGGGCCACGCTGCTGCCAGCTCTGTGGCCCAATATTCGGTCTGCGAAGAGGATCCATAAAGTGGATCTTTCAAAAGATGCTGAGTGTGTTTCCATCTCGTGTTGCTGTTAGGTGTCCTCCAGTCGATTTCCGATTACAGTAAAAGTAGCCTCACTGCGTTTGCTAGCTTTGGTGGCCTAGTGGCAAGAAGCTGTGCTGCAATTCAAAGACCCGCAGTTCGAGGGCACCAACTGCTCCTCGGGAGAAGGATGGGCAATCTCCTCCCGTGTGATTAACTGCCTCTGAAAACCCACCAGAAAAGAGGTCAGCTCTACAGTACACACAACAACAGACTGCCCAGGCTGTCTCCTATAAGACCTGTGGGTGGGTTCGAACTGTCAGCCTTTTGGTTTGCCCCTGTGTGTGTAACCACTGCACCACCAAGGCTTTTCTCCTCCTAACTTTCTTAAGGAGTCCAAGGGTGGTTTTCGGTGGACGACTTCAGAACTAAGAGGAAGCAATTCTCGCGGGAGGAAGAACTAAGAACCTTTGAAAGGGTCCTCATGGGCCGAGTGGCCACTCCACTGGCCCCTCCGGGCGGCGGCTCACACCTCCAGCGGGATCAGGTAAAGGAGGGTCCCGGGCTCGGAGCAGAACCCACGGCTCCGGGGGGAGGGGAGAAGACCCGCAGGCACAGGGAGCGCAGCCTCCGCGCCGCCCTTGAGCCGCCCGGCACGGTCAGCGCCAGGCCCCCGCCGCCAGCACACCTG